ACCCCCACCCCCATTATTTAATTGTGTGGAGGTATTAAAGCCATTATCCACAGTCCAGGATTGCGCTTGTTTCACTACCTCAGGGTGCCTCAAGCCTGCTCAGTTTTTTGTACAACTGGGGCATCGCGGGTCTGTTTTTACTGCCTCTGCTCGCAGTGCCAAGGAAGTGTAGGGAAAAGATAGCACACAACAAAATTGATGGGTAAAAATGTGTAATTTTTGTGTTTTACACTAGTTTTGCTTGCACAACAGCAAACCAATGCAATCATGTGACATTACTCCCCTGAATTACATACGTGTAAACTTCTTCCTCTGGAAACTTTTTCGTTGCCACAGGTCTCTGCAGCTATGTCACTCAGGGCATCCAGAGGTAGCGACGCAAACTCACTCCAACAACATACAGTTTTTAACGTGCTTCAAAATAAATTTACTTGGTCCAGTGAGCACTATTGCAGCTCTTGTCATTAATCTTTGTGTCTTTTGGTGGGTTTTAGGAAATTGGTTCGAAAATAACCATGGGTTAGTGCTTTGTCATTTCTTCATCTCATAATAAATTCATTTTTTGTACATGAACTTGAATTATTTTAATGGTTGAATGAATCCGTGATTGACAGCATCCCAAGAACAATGAGGGTGCTGTTCTTAATCTTCATACTACAGAAGTTGAATTTTAATGAATTTGTTGTTTCATGGATAGATTATATCATTCCCACTAAACTGTTATTTATTACTTACAAAGTCTAATTTACCAAACTTAGATCCTGTCTGGATAATGAATTGCTAACCCCATGTTTCTCAAGGTGCCTTCTTGTTACAAGAAAATGCTAGATGTCTTCTTGGTAACACTATAGTAATTAAAGGGGAGCAGAGGTCTGGCTTTTGACACTCTGTACATGAAATTTGAGATCTATGAATGAATTCTGTCAATAAAAACACCTTGTATGGGGTGCGAAATGCCCTAAATATCGGGTATAAAATGGGCTGTGATACAGACGACAAACGTCTGCTTTGCCTGACATCATTTCGCCTCTAGAGGGCCAGTCGAATGATGTCATCAGTGAACCTTGTTAACTGACAATTTAAAAGTTGAAAAATAGCGAGGTGGGTATGAATGCCATAACAATTCATGTTAAGTTTCTCGAAATCCCAAAAAATCATGTTGGTTGCGGTCTCTTATCGCCAAATCTTGTGCAAGACGTGGATGTTAAGTCGCATCAAAATTTTGCTATCTAGTATTTACGATTAACTAGACAGATTATCCTTCCAAAAGCGTGCTGACACGCCCAAATCTAGAAAGCTGGTAATTGCCTACTTCGCACTTTACCTACATTGAAAGGCAAGAAACATTCTTTGAAACTTAAAAGCCTGAACCATAAATTCAACGATGTTCACAACTAATCTCATTCTAGTTTTTGAAATTGTTTATTGTATAGTTTGTGCATTACCTGTGACTGTAATCAATGACATAAAGAAGCTGAGACTGCATGCTCTGCTAAGAAACTGCTTTGATGGAATCTGTACATGCCAACCC